ACTGGCAAAGCTGGATCCTGGACCTAGCTGTGGGTTTCCAGACCAAAGAAAAGCCATCTCTGGTGCAGTGCCCCTCTCCGTGTTCGTTGTGAGCTGCGTATACGGGCTTGTGAGCACGTGAGCGTGAATTCTCTCTGCAGGGCTGCGCCAGGCTATGAGTAGGTAGTGTATCTTTCCCGGATAATTGGCTTTTTTTATTGCACAGTCATTTTTCCGTGTTCTCCTCTTATTAAAGAAATACCCTTGGTGACTTTTTGAATAGCTTTCAGTCTCCACTGTTTACGCACTGTGGGAGAGAAGAGAGAATTTCTGATAATTTTGTTTTCTCTCTATTTAGCTGACACTTATGCTTGAATTTTATTTTGTTTAACCCCAGTGTTTCCAAAGCAGCGCAGCTGCCTTCTGTTCCCGACTGCATCTGTGCACCACCAAGGCTTTCTAATGAGAAGAAAACCTGCTTAGAGGGGTCTCAGGGTAGTGGGCTTGGGTGGACAAGACCAAAATGGAGGGTTTTTTGCAGTCTGTGGATTACTGTTCTCCCTGATTTACAGCAAGGGAATAGATAACTTGGATAGCTTGTGCCCTTCCAGGCAGCAAACAACTTTACCAGAAGCTAACCCAGGTCACTAAGTCTTCCCTCTGTTTTCTGCCTAGACTTCTCTCTGTTTCCCTCTGCCGCTTCCCTTCCCTCTCTCCCAAAGCTTCACTTCCCTCCGTACGGATTCACGGTGGCCCTTGCCTTCCACTGCGCTGCTGTGGGATGAGTTCTCCGGGGCTGGCCCGCGGCAGCCCCTCATGCCCCCGCTGGGGCGAGGGAGGAGAGGGCTCGGGGACGGCCCTCGGAGATGGTTTGCAGAGCTGAGCTGGTCTCCCTTGGGGGTTTTGCCCTGGTTTGAGGGAGCTGGGCAAAACAAGCCAGGGGTCAGTGGTGGAGCCGATGCTGGCGTCGTGCAGAAGATGTCATTGCCATCTCCATGTGAGCAGTGGGGTTTGCCCAGCCCGTTGCGGTGCTGCAGTGATGGCGTGAAATGAGAATAAATTCCAAGCTTGCGGGTTATGCAGGTTGCAAAGGTTTTGGGTGGAGAGGAGGCGTGAGCCCGACGACGGGCAGGGAGGGAGGTGGGCTTTCAGCCAGGCTGGGCAGGATTTCATTTTTGTTTGCGCTGCCTGGCTCATTCAAAACACATTTCCATGCTGTTAAGTTCCTTTGACAAGGGAACAGCTGGATTAATTTCACAGCAGTTGCTGACCAAGACAGTTAAAGCAAGAAAATCTGAGGAATGCTGCAGCAGAAGCTTATTGGTAGAGCTGAAGGCAGCAATGTGGTAGAAAGGGTCTGGACTCACCAGTGCTTGAGGTGGTGGGGCAGGGAGGGCTTCTGTGAAGCTACTCCTACCTCTGAGCTTGCATTAGACTGACCGCCTCGTTGCTTTGGCAGTCACCTCGGCTCTTGTTAGCTTGTTCGCGTTGGTTATACTTGGTTTACTCGTTTTTGCACACTGCAGTTTAGGAGTCAGTGCTCTTGTTGGTGCTTGCAGTTGCTGTTCTCAAGATGATGATATGGCAGGTTATCAGTCTGGGTAGAAGGTGGCTTGCTCGGTGGTCTCCCTTGTCCTGTGCATTCATACTAAACACTGAATTTATCCAGGATCTTACTGTGGTTGTAGTGCAGCAAACACAGCTCTGAATTTCTGTTCCCAGCTACATAAACTTTCCATTTTCGCAGGCCAGCTGGTGCTCCAGCATCATGGGGGGTACCTGGCCCACGCTCACCTCCTCATGGGTGTCTTTCATCCAGCTTGTGTGTGCGTGCCGGTCCGTGTGTGCGCGCGAGAGCTGGCTTGTTTGTTCCTAGCCGGGATGTGCTGAGCCTGTGCCGGGGGATGCCACGCTGCTGCCCTGTGTGGTGCGGCACCATCTTTCTGAGCCAGATGGAGAGTGAACTTGGGAGGGCATCCCTCGCGAGAGGGGAGCCCTGGAACATCTTGCAGGTAAAATCTCCAGGGTTCCAGGCATGAGACTCTTCTTTAACTTCTCTGGTCTGGTTTTGAGAGTGCTGTTTGTGCTGAGACCAAAGATCCCTAGGAGGCTCTCGCTGGCTGTGCTGGTTGGTGACTTCCCTCCTCGCCTGCCCGGGTACCGGACCGAGGTGGACGGTTTAACCCGGCTCATCTCACCAGGAAGGGGGGGTGTCATCTCTGTTCACCCACCAGATCTGCAGCCCATTCGCAAAGAAGCAGCAGAACACACACGTATCTTTATTTGCCCCATCAGCTTGCAAGGGGATATCTGCATCGTTCTCCCTCCAGCAGCTCTGCACGCTCTCCGCTCCCTCGTCCAGCAGCTGAGTGATGGGGAGGCTCTCCAGGGTGTAGCACAGGGATGCTGTGGAGGAGCACCCCTTTTGTGGGATCCGTGGCTCTCCTCCCTTCTGTGCCTCAGCTTCAGTCCATGGTAACACCATGAGAGCAGGCAGGGGCTGTGGGTGGGGACTGGGTTCCTCGGGTGCTGGGAGCAGGTGAAGGTAGCTCATGAGCAGATCAAGACAGAGCAGGACGACTGGCACTGCTACAAGGAGGAGTTACCGACTTCCCTGCCGCACCCAGCGTTGCTGAACAAAGTCTTACAGTGCTCTGGGGGCAGTTCCTTCGGAGAGGAGGAGCTGAGCAGACCTCCTGGTCCCAGATGAACTCTGCTTAACAGAGCAAAGACTTCTATTGCTTCCGTAAAGCATGAAAGCTTGCGCAAGATGCTTGATCCCTGCTGACAACTTTTGTCAGTAGCTTCCTCCTCTATAATGGGAAGAGGCAGCCCAGTTCCCGGGTGACTGGGAGGGTGCCACGAGCCAGGAGGGTGCTGGTGTGACCTGCTGCAGTAGGACGGGGGGCCTCTGGAGAGAGGCAGCGTGCTGGCTCTGGCCTGAAAGAGTCAGCGGGGAGAGTGTCGGTGTAAGACGCAGCGGAGCAACCCGAGGGAGGCTCGGGAGGGCACGGTGTGGTGGGTAGCTCTTGGCTTTGCAGTAAAAGGCAAAGCCATGTGTGTGATTTCACCAGGTCCTCTAAGGCTTGGGAGACCTTCAGCTGCTTGGTGCATTGGCTCTGCTTCAAAAGCCCACTTATTGCATTGCTCTCCTTCAGTTTATGCCTTTTGACATCTTCTGAGTGATTATAGCCCTGACTCATCCACGAGAGCTGGAGCGCTCTGCCGCACCCGAGGTGCACATGTTGGTTGTCTGACGCATGCCAGCGTCTGCACGTCGCTGCCTTGCAGGCGCCAGGGCGAGTGCGAGAGCAGCACCGGGGCAGAGAGGTCTGCTGCAGCCCACCACGCTGCCGCCTCCTGCCCCTCCGTTCGCTGCATCTGACACTGGTCGCCCATGCGACCGAGCAACTGGGACTTGGCTGCAAGGGAGGGCAAGAGCTGGAGGAGTTCAAGGCTGGATTTCCAGTGAATCCACTGCTAGCCACCGTCCCGGCTTGTTTCCAGAACTCTCCCTTCCAGTGCAACAGAGGTAGCAGAGCCATACCCTGGTTGTCCAAACTGGGCTCTGGACCTCCTGCTTGTAGTGTGCTGAGCCTGGCTTTTAGTGGTGCTGACAGCCTGTGCGTTTCACAGGAGCGGTGCCTGGCCAGGCTTTCTAGCAAAGTTTGGGGATGTTTTTTCGTGCAGAGCATCCAAAAGAATTAGCTGCCTTTGGAAACCACTGGGTCTTCTTCAGTGTGTCGGTGTGGGGGCGGAACAC